CCCATGAACCTCCAAGTACCAGACCTAAGATGCGAGTTCAATCCAGTTCAAGACTGAGTCTGTGACATGTGTGGCACCTGCCAGCTCATCGCCACCTTGTTGGACAAGTCTTCACCAGTGCAGGCGCACCAGACCGGCAAAGACCAAATCATTGAGGGTTCTTTCATCGTCATGGGATCGATGGCAACCTTCATAGCCACTTGCAGGTTGCTCATGCCATTGCTGGTGCACAGAAGCCTGGAAGTAAAGTGCTGTTCGCACATAATCCAGACCTCAAACCCGAAAAGGTAGTCCCCTGCTTGGCCATGCGTTCTTAGCGACGGTGATAAGAATAGTGCGCATACGAAAACGAAGAAGGAGGATGAGAGTACCAGTGAGAATCAGAATTTCCAGAACATTCTGACTGACCAGTCCGTGACACTCGATCCTGTCCGTCCCGATGCCTTGGATGACGAGGACGCCCAGGCGGGAAGAGCTCACCCCTTTCACAAAGAGGGATCCCTAAACCCTAAACCCTAAACCCTAAACCCTAAACCCTAAACCCTAAACCCTAAACCCTAAACCCTAAACCCTAAACCCAAAGCAACATAGGTTTCGCAGGGCTTTTGTGAGGTTGGCGCGTCCAGGGGACCCCTGGGGGCTTGAAGGATTTTGTAGAGGTTCTGTCGGGAAGTAAGGAGGTTTCTTAACATCAGGGGTCCTTTAATTTTTGGATCGGCTGATTCAGGCTCCACTTTGGGGGTCCTTATCTGCAGGATTGTATGACTCGCGGTGTAGTGTTTCAGAGGTCAAGCTTGGGTGTGGTGTTGCGCAGCCTGTGACTTTATGCACCATGCTTGTGCTTTCAATTTGCATAGCGACAAATCCTCGAATATCATAACTCACGACCAATTGGAAATTGTTGTCGACAGGAGTCAGTTTTCGTTGTGAGTTCTCAGCCACACATGATGAGGAAAGGACGTTTGGTCTGCAGAGGTATTAGTAATTGGGCCAATCCTTTGCCGTGAGCGACGTAGATACAATCATCATCATCCTCCTCCTCCTCATCATCATCATCATCACCATCGTCGTCATCATCATCATCATCATCAGCAGCAACATCATCAACACCATCATCATCATCATCATCATCATCATCAACATCATCATCATCATCACCATCATCATCATCATCGTCGTCATCATCATCAGCATCATCATCATCGTCATCATCATCATCATCATCATCATCATCATCATCATCAGTATGCATGGCGTCATGAGCATCGTCGAGCATGGTCGTCGTCATCATCGAAGAGGCAAGGCAGGCTATGCAAACCAGTGTTTTGGGCATGCCACCAGACATGAGTGGGTGCTACTGCCCCGCAGGTACAGAGCAAGAGCGACAGAAGGGATGAACTAAACAAAGAACGAACGACATAGAACGAAAAAGTGAACGACATAAGGGAGCACGGTACAGAAAGAAGGTCATGAACAACTAGGTTCTAGATGACTCAGGGACGAAGGACGAAACAGCAGAACACCCCGAGGAAATCAGCACGGATGGAAGACGGTGATACTGCCGTAGGCAAAATATTGATGCTTGCAGTGTTTTGGCATCTTTGTACAACATGCTGTAGAATCAGCGCAACACCCACACACTGTATAAGTCCCCCCATAGGGTTATATTTTTTGTTTCCCTTTTAATAACCCTACTTATAACTACCGATGAACCTCCAAGTACGGGGTGCTCTTCAGGAGCTGATGGAAGCCTTGAAACCCCTTAGCCCTAAATCCTAAACCCCAAACCCCAAACCCTAAACTTTAAATCCTAAGTCTAAACCCTAAACCCTAAACCCTAAGCCCTGAACCCCAAACCCTAAACCTCTTGAGGAGCTGGTGGAAGCCTTGGAGTTCAACGCTTCCCTTCGCCGGGTCTTCTTCTACCACGATCAGATCGGCGAGGAGCGCGCAGAGGCGAGGGATAGCTTTAGGGGTTAGGGTTTAGTACAGGGGTTTAGGGGTTTAGGGGTTTAGGGGTTTAGGGTTAAGAGTTTAGGGTTGGTTTAGGGTTTAGGGTTTAGGGGTTTAGGGTTGAGTTTCCAAAGCTCTGGAGTTGTACTTGGAGGTTCATGGGTAGTTATAAGTAGGGTTATAAGTAGGGTCACTATAATTATAACCCTATTAGGGGGCTTATAACCCCACTTATAACTACCCATGAACCTCCAAGTAAGCTGTAAGTAACTATGCTACCTGCTGCGCTTTTGCTCGTTGTCAGGCCATTGCACAGGCGATGGACCCTCTCTGGAACGTCAGGGAGAAGGCAGACGGTGAAACTGTGGGATGCTGGAATCTTATTCTCAAGATTACTGTCACTACTGTTTTTGTCCGTTCCACTGCTGCATATTTGCCGTTGCTTTTGTCGCAGAAGCAGTCCTTACAACTCGGGGGCAATGCTGCAGGCACTCTCACAAGGTATTCCCATGGACAGTTCGAAGAGCCCTGGCTGAGCTGAAGTCTTCGTTTGCTTCGGGGTTAGGTGTGAAGGGGTACATGTCTTCGAATGGCTCTGGTCTGGTTACATGCCTTGCAGGCGGCAGGCATTAATTTGCAAGTCTGTCGGGAGTGCGTATGGCCAAGGAGCCTGCTGTGCAACTCTACAGAAATCGGCGAGGATGGGGTGGAGGCGTGATTGAGTGTGGTTTTTCATGGAGTTTCGTGGCGACTCCGGTGAAGGGCACTGATGGTTTCATCTTCTTTGGAACGGTTTGCAGTTGTAGCAGATCTTGGAAAGCCTCACAGGCCAGCGGGGTCGGTTCAGATATTGCCCAAGGGCAATCTTGCAAGCAGAGGTCCTCAGACCACCTCCGAAAACTGCAGCTTAGCCGAGCCCTTCGCTGCAGGCCTTGGTGGCGGCGCTGGAAGAGCACTTCGTCGTGAAGGCGCCTGTTGGAGCTTTCGCAAAATTTTTTGGCTCCGCAAGACCCAGAGACTCCAAAACCCCTTAATTAAGGAATATACCTTAAATTATAGTAGGAACCCTAATAAGATTTAAGGTATATTCCTTAATTAAGGGATGTTGGAGTCTCTGGGAAGTTCTGGCTCCGCAAGAGGGTTTGCACCTTCGACAACAGGAGGTGAGCCTTGCCGGCGTCGGCTTCGGCATGTCTGTGCTTGAGGCCGCTGATGGTGGGGGACGTTTACGAAGAAGTTGCCAATTCACTTGGGGCTTTCCGAAAATAGGGGACCCTAGTATAGTACCCTAAATAGTAGGATCCTTATTATAAGAACCCCAAAATAAGGTACCCCTAATTTTCGGAAACTCCCACTTCTCCATCTCAGCAGAAGTTTTGTGACTTGCCCCAACCGCGCGCTGACGGGACCCGACACCGCGAACGCTCCCGATGCTGAATCCTGAGCCGTTCAAACCCACTGCCTCGCCCTATGTAACTCTTGAAACCGCCTCATTCCCGAATCCCTAAACCCTAAACCCTTAAACCCTAAACCCTGAACCCTTGCACCCTGAATCCTTAAACCTAAACCCAAAAAACCCTGCTTACAGACACTCCCCGAGGGGACCCCCAAAAAGGAATTCCAGCTAAGCCCTGTCCAAGGCCTTGGCTGGGTCGCGGCCTCGGCGTGGTAAAGTCTTAGACCCCAAAAGACTTTTCTCATCCCCTTTTCATGAATTTTTAGGGTTTTTTTTTTTTATAATCCCCTTCATGAGTTTTAGGGTTTTTCGGGATCCCCTTTATGAGTTTAGGGGTTTTTAGATTCGGCAAGCATTTTCAGGAAGAAGGCATCTGTTTTCAACATTTTTGGGGGTTTAGAGGAGAGGGGTCAGAGTCCGATTCCTGGGGACGGGGAGTTCCCGCTTCCGATAGTCAGGAACTTGTTTTCCTGCTACGAGATCTCTCTGAAGTGAGGAAGAAGGGAAAACCCCTGCATCCAGTGGTTCAGGCGGTCTCACCTGAATCTCAGCGCCAGCCCATGAGCCCCGAGCCCGCGAAGTATGGGAGGCCCCTGCAGGTTCAGCAGAGATACTAGAAGGCTCTGGTAGATCAAGGGGTGGCTGAGCACGAGTTGCGATGCTGACAGGGGCATTATCGCGATGGTGCAGAGAAAAGTGCGGTATGCCTCGGTGTACCCCTCCTCCTGGAAAGCCTTGCGCCATACATGTCTTGTATCGCTCTTCCCTCCTTGGAGGTTCATGGGTAGTTATAAGTAGGGTTATAAGTAGGGTAACCATAATTATAACCCCTATTAGGGGACTTATAACCCCACTTATAACTACCCATGAACCTCCAAGTCAGGTGTGCTCGTGCGCATGTCAAGTCCCTTGTTAAGCAATTCGCTCATTCTACGTCCAGTTGAGTGCCTGAGGCTGCTCCTTCTGACAATCCAGTCTCCACGCCGTATAGTAGCACACTTACGGCTGATGGACAAAATCCTGCATGACCTTATATACCTAAACTATGGGATTTATGGTACTATACTATATTTGGGTCATGCACAATTTTGTCCATCAACAGTATGGCTAGCGGCTAGCTCCCTAAGCGAAGCCCTGCTGCTTCCAGATCCCAAAATGGTTGCGAGATTCTGTGCAGTAAACCCTAAACCCTAAACCCTAAACCCTAAACCCTAAACCCTAAACCCTAAACCCTAAACCGATTCGTACAGTAGGGCCCAGAGAAGCTTCGCATCCGCCGCAGCATTTCGGCTGGGTTTAAAAGCCCCCACCCCTTTCCGGTTTTGGCATCTCTTTGACTCCCTGGCTCTCTCTTTCCCATGGCCGGGGGTCAGAAATTTTCGCTGACTTACTTCGCAGTAGTGCAGCTCTTTCAGGCATCGTGCACTTGTTTTGAACAGTTTCTTCCCATCTCTCATCTCACGTGGGTTCACAGATGCCGCATGTTCAGTCATGCGGGGAGCTTACGGCATCAGGAGGTTGAAGGGATTCCCCAGTGGATCTCGTGAGTCCGAGTTTGATGTTCCAGAGCGGGTCTTCGAGGTACTGACCTCCCTGAACATGCTCAGCCGAGTTTGAAGGCCACTGCTCTACCTGTTGAGTTGCCAGAGACTGCTCCAGCCTTAATTAGGCAACAGTGGAAGATTGTCTTTGCAAGGCACCTGGCCTCATTAGCATCGAGAAGCCTCGGTTGCACTGACCCCGGACAGTCAAGCTCGCCAGGGTCATGGTGTTTTAGCATGAAGGGAAGCAGGGTGCGCCAACGTGCACGCTGCATTTCGTATTCGATAAACCAAAGCCCCTAGATGGGAAGGCATGCAGAAAGACAGATAGACAGACACGGACCCAGGAACTGTTGCCGCTCCGAGGCAGTTGTCGCAGTTGATCGAAGTCCAAACGGGTCAGGCGTGAGTCCCGGGTCGAGGTTTGCTTCAGACTAAGTGTGCATGGAAGCAGACCGTGGGAGTGCACAGCCCAACGCTCCTGTGGAATCATCCCGCGAGGCACCCGTGAGTGC